TATTCTTATGGGTTTCTGGGCTCATGTCTAAGTGCACATAAATCCGTCTGGCAAAAATACGTCCAAATAATCCTGAGTAGCCATCAATATGGAGATTTTTAACTGTAAACAGTGTTAAAACCCCCAACTCTCTCACCATGCTCAACCATGAAAAAACAACAGCGTTTCAAAACGAGGATCAAGCATCTGAAACTTTTTAACACTCCCGCTTCCCGCCATTAAAAGCGTTGAGCTTGGAGGCTGAAGCCGTTTAGACGTGCCTTTTATTGTCCTTGTCGTCCCTTTCCCGTGGGCGCCTCGAGAATTCCAAGCTCGCGAAATAATCGAGGGGTCCGAAACACAAGACCGAAGGGGTTTACGGGCAGCGCGCGAGGAACAGCGCTCATTACCGTCCCGCTTTCGCTGAAATATTCGCTCATGCATTCTTGACGACGTGCTTTACCTCGCTTTCCGATAGAATTCTGCCACGCTCACCGAGAACCCCCTCTCATCCCTTAAATTTTGCCAAATTTCCTCCACTTGAAGCTATTCATTTTTGACGTATCATCGGATTTTCCCTTCAAAATCCTTACGATACTGAATCAATTTTCCTTAAAAATCCCTTAAATTTTGCCAAAATTCCTCCGGTTGAAGCTATTCATTTTTGACGTATGATCGGATTTTCCCTTCAAAATCCTTACGATACTTACAATACTTACTCAATACGATACTTAAAAATCCCTTAAATATTGCCAAATTTCCTCCAGTTGAAGCTATTCATTTTTGACGTATGATCGGATTTTCCCTTCAAAATCCTTACGATACTGAATAAAACGAACCATCATAAGGTACGAATTGAGGCATTCTGGTACATCCACGGTCAAGCTCCCCATTCACGTGTCTCGTTTGGTGTGTCTGAAAATCTCCGCTCCAATTTCATGTTTCTGACGAAGAACAATTCAATATCATTCCTTCAAGTTTTTTAAGGAATGTTCTTGTATCGAGGGAAAAAAACCCGCCCTCTCATCCGTTAAATTTTGCCAAATTTCCTCCAGTTGAAGCTATTAATTTTTGACGCGTGATCGGATTTTCCCTTCAAAATCCTTACGATACCGAATAAAAGGAACAATTAGGCAAGGTATACAAATGGAGAACTTGCATGCAAATTTGTTATTGCTTCATCTAAAAGTGCATGAAGAGATGATTTCACAGTATTTTTTATAATTTTTTTTTTTATATGGGAAATACTATACAAATATATTTAAAAGTGAGAAAATGTACCGCCAAGTGACGTCATCTGGCGCCATTTCCCATTTAAACACATGTATTTCAGCAGGTTGGATAATTTTGTCGTACCTTCTCCAATCATTGTTCAATTCATGAACCAAGGGTATCCTCGTGTTCAATTCACTCAGGAGTTTCTACTTAAACACGAAATTCATCAATTTTCAGACACCTGCAAATTCTCTACAGAGGCATTCTAGTGCATCCACGGTCAAACTTTCAATTCACTTTCAAATCTCCGCTCCAATTCAAATTCAACATCACGCTGAAGATGAATAGTCCATTTTTGATTGGTCACACGATTTGAAGCGCGCTAAAACACGTCCATAAGCGAAGCATATAGGATGAATTTCTGAGGTTAATTTCTCAAAAATTTACCAATATAATCCGCCGCAACGTTAAAAATCCAAAGATCAGAGCAGCAAAATGCTGATAAAATCAATGGAACTTAAGAAAACGGACTGAAATTTAAAGAAAAGCAGACTAACAGCGACGGACTTGCCCACTTAAATACACGTAATTTTGAACGATCCGGACAAACAAACGGACGTATTTCTATCAAACGGAACTACGTGCATTATGACGTGAGCCCTGAGACCCATGAGAGTATACTCAAAACAGGCATAATGCACATAGTTCCTTTTAATAGAAACACCTCCAAATACTGTGCGAGGTGTGAATGATTGATTATCGATATATTCCCATTTCAAGCTATGGTAAATAATCGATTATTAAGGTCTTCGTTGCGAACACCCTGTCCATCGATTCTTTTACATAGGTTTAAATGGCAGATAAATCGATACATCGCAAAGCACGCCACGCCACTGAGCGGAGAGCTCTGCCGTGCTGAAAAAGAACGCCGTGTGAACATTCGAGAGTTGTCAAATTTTATTCGATAAAATGTCTATTTTCGAAGAAAGCTGTGAATATTTCTCCTTGAAATTTTCAGACGTTTTAGATCAAATCACAAAGAAAAAAAATTATCTGAGAAATCGGTAGACATAGATTCAAAAATTTTCCTGAAAATTAGTGATTTGCCAGGGGGAATTTTGCAACGTCTGACGGCTCATAAGGCGTTTTTCCTTAGCACGGCAAAGCTCACTTTTAACGATGCAAGTGCCCGCTTTTATTCTAGGATACCCTAGCGTTCGTCCAACTACTTCATGTTTCTGACACGAAAGAGAAGGAGAGGAAGAGTGGAGGAGAGCAAAAGAGAAAGAGAGAGAAGTTGGTGGTTTTTGTAATCCTTTCTTATTTTCCGCGCACACCAACGGCGTAGACGAAGGCGTGAGGGGGGCGGGGGCTTAAGGCCATAAGGGGGTATGGGTGAGAGGAGGGGCAAAAAGAGGGTATTAGGCCGCGCACTCACCCAACTCAGTGAGGATTGTAATTAGGAGTGCAGTTGATTTAATTTCCCGCGCTTTTTGCCTAATTTACCGGAATGCGTTTTGAAATGCTAATCCTCCCGCTATCGCTGCCACTTTTCGGGGGATTCGGACGCGACTCTTCGCCGGCATTCCACGTCTTGACTATTTCGTCCCTTTTTCTCATTTCATTTCTCAGAAATAAATAATACCCATAGCTCTGGAGCACTGCCGTGCTAAGGAAAAACGCAATATCGTCACCTTCCAGGCAAAGTATCACAAGCGCCATGCGACGTTTAAAAATTTCCGTCGCCATTTTATTTTTTTACAGAGAAATTGTTCAACGAAGCTGTCCGAAAATTTCACTGAATTTTCTTTGTGCTGCCGATAAAATTTAGTGAAATTTCCAAACAGATTCAACCAGCAATTTCTCAGTAAAGAAATAAAATGGCGGCGGAAATTTTTAAATGTCGCATGGCGCTTGTGATACTTTGCCTGGAAGGTGACGATATGAGCCTTTACTCGTTGCCAAATTTCCGTCGATAAATCACGAATTTTCGGGGAAATCCATAAATATTTTGATTTTAATTTTTTTGATAATTTTGTTCGCAATTTTACGTAAAGTTCTTGAAAATTTCTTGGAAAAATATTCCTCAAAAATGAGCATTATATCGAGGGAAATTTGGCAACTCTCGAATGTTCATACGGCCGTTTCTCCTTAGCATGACAGAGCAGCTAAAATGAGTCTTAGGATCGTGTTCATAGTCGTTCATGTTTCTTGTCGTAGCTGTTATTTCAAAGGCAAGTCTCATCAACAAGTTATGGCTGTCATGTTGAAGTCGTGTCAATGCATGCTCTCCATTGAGCCACTAGAGAGGGTTCAAAAACCAAGCGCCGGTACACATGAGATGTGTCTAGAATTTTGCAAAGAAACCTAGATCCTTTTCCCCGACAAGTTGAACTAAAAGCTGCGTAAAATTTGGTGAGGTGACTTAAAATAAAACTTTTCAGTTCTTATCCTTACTAAAGTAGTCTGTTGCAGGGTCCACCTTGTTCATTAATTAGTTCTTTCCTCAAGAATTTATGGAGTCAATTCTCAACACTGAAGAAGAACTACATTTTTCTCCCCTGGGAAACAAACGAACTCGGCAACATGTAAAAGGTCGATTTCACTCAATTGAATGCATCTCACTCACCTCTCTTATAAAAGTGAGTTAAATACAAAGCCAAGAGGGTTTGAGTGCACTTCAGACGTTCGTAATTTCCTGAATGCATCCATTACAAGGCGAAAGCGCGTTTTAAACAAAGTATCGAGTATCGCAGAAAGTATGTAGTATTTAGGTACATTTCTTGGTAATGAACAGTTAGAATAGGTTCGAATTCAAGAATTTTACTGATCACTCCATCATCCGGATTTTTCAAACATGCAGATGGAGTCAACGGAATGCGTCTGTTTAAACGCAGGGGACAACAGCGCAAATTTTACTGCAATATTTCCTTTCATGTTTCATTTCAATGTTAAAGCTAGGCTAAAGAAAATGAAAAAGATGCGTACATTTCCTCCATTGAGGTATAGTCAAAAATTTCCGACCGTGTAACAATTTTTCATAAAAAAGTATGATGATTTCAACTACTTGTGCATATTCTGACTACTTTTGGCGCTAGTCAGACGTGAAATCACCAGTCCGAGGTGCGGTTGATTCAGCTACATTTTTTGCTGACTCGGCTATCTGCTGGATGTTGTAATCACCTTTTTGACTGGCAAGAAAATCAGCCAATAATATTATTGAACTTACCATACTTTTTATGACCAAAATATATCCTTGAGATTAAATATCCGTGAATATTTTCGAACGGTGAAAAAATTATCAAAAAATTCCAAAAAAACAACAACTGGCTTTTAACTGGTTTTCAGTCGAAAAATAAAATTTGAACGGAGTCTTGGAGCTTTGAGTTAGAGATGGCCATTTACCAACACGAGCTATCGATTTTTGAACAAATAGTGAGCGACTAATCGAATGAAATTTTGTAAGAAAGCTCATACACAAGCATAATAAAGTCTGCGATGCCTGATTTCATGAATTTCCACTTGCAATTTCTCTTTTATCTCTTAGTGATAATGAGATCTGTTTAAATTCATAGATTTAACTCCCAAACCATGTGCTGCTGAGTGCAATCGGGATTTGCAAACCATTGTAATCTAGCTGTCTTATAAGACCCCAACAATGAGTGTGGCAAGAGGTATTGAAAAAACTTGGTCGTTAGCTCTTTTCAGAAATAAATTAACATGTCCCTTAGCATCAATGATTAATTAAAAACTCCGTGTTTTGCTATATGAATAATGAAACGAATTTTTGTTTTTGTGTGTTTCAGTTCAACGGAAATGCAAAATGAACTCAATATCTAGCGATTGCACGGTGAGTCTCAGGGTTGCCTTTTCATGCATGACTCACATTCGCATGTTGACAATGAAAGAACGCATAGTACGGTTTGCAATGTTACGGATCTCCTTCATTTCATTACTTTCACGTATTCAGAAAACTACTTTTTAATCAGACCTTGAAAGTTTCCGCTTGATTTTTTTTTTTTTTTTTTTTTTTTTTTATCCATGCATATTAAGATCATTCTATAAAAGCCATGATGTTGGTTCCCACCAGGGCCGGATTAAGGGGGTGGCCACATGGACCGCGGCCCACGGCGGCAAATCTAAGGGGCGGCAAAAATTTGCAATTTTTTAAAGTGTAGGTACAAAAAACAATCGGATTTATAAAAACAAAATTACAAACGAGAAAAGGCGACAAAATCTCTCATTTCCTAAGAGTATAGTAATTTCTAATTTTCTCTTAGTGATACAGGAGACAGCACCCTCAATTAGTCGATTTACGAGAGAAACCAAACACGCAAGTTGGCCTAGAACGGCGCGACGTAGAGAGAAATGATAACGAGGACTTGAGATGAAAAGGAGACGCGCCCTCAGCTCGGCGATCGGCATGAAACACATATTAGCGCCTACAAGACTGCACGAATACTTCATGCATTGCATCAAACACAGTGCGGTCATTGCGGTCAGCGTGAAACGGATAGCGCCTACAAGAATACATGAATACTTCACGCATTGCGCCAAACACAGTGCGGTCAGCGTGAAACGCATAGCGGCTACAAGACTGCGTGAATACTTCACGCATTGCGTCCAACACGGTGCGGTTTACGCGGCGCGGCGGCGGAAGTTAAAATCATTGAACCACATTTATGTTTGTTCTTTCATAATTTTGTTGTTAATTTCTTATGAATGGAAGGTCTTGTCCACACAGAGATAGGTTTACAGAACTTAACTTTCGCGCAAAGTTTTATGAACTTTTGCTAGTAGTGTTGACAGAGCTTTCCCAAAAGATGTGTTCAGCACGAACAAATGCGTCTTATGCACCTCTTTTCCGCTGGCACGTTCATTTGATGGTTTTTATCGAGTTGGAAAACGAATGAGAAGGAGGCGGCAAAATATAGGCGGCCCATGGGCGGCTAGTAGGTGAATCCGGCCCTGGTTCCTACCTCTGAAAAAAACAAGATATAAATGCGTGGATTATGAAACACAGGAAACGATGTACGCATTCCTGCAATTTCACCGTTGAAATATTTTTCATGTAACTATGATGTACATGACCAGGGGGCACGCCCCCTGACCGCTTCGAGGTGCAGCCTCCAAAGCGCCTGGCGCCTTAGGCGTTATACGTCTCACGTTACTCTTGTGATTTCATAGAGTATAATTTAGAAATAGATAAGCAAGACGCGGTGGGATTTTTATTTTAAACTAAGACTAAAAATAAACCCTGAAGAGGCTCTCTCCCGTCAGAAGTGACGCAAGAAAGTTTTCAGGTACCTCCATGAAAGTCAACCCTCCGACAGAACAGCATCTCATCATTCCGTCATCATTCGCNTTTTTTTTTTTTTTTTTTTTTTTTTTTTTTTTTTTTTTTATCCATGCATATTAAGATCATTCTATAAAAGCCATGATGTTGGTTCCCACCAGGGCCGGATTAAGGGGGTGGCCACATGGACCGCGGCCCACGGCGGCAAATCTAAGGGGCGGCAAAAATTTGCAATTTTTTAAAGTGTAGGTACAAAAAACAATCGGATTTATAAAAACAAAATTACAAACGAGAAAAGGCGACAAAATCTCTCATTTCCTAAGAGTATAGTAATTTCTAATTTTCTCTTAGTGATACAGGAGACAGCACCCTCAATTAGTCGATTTACGAGAGAAACCAAACACGCAAGTTGGCCTAGAACGGCGCGACGTAGAGAGAAATGATAACGAGGACTTGAGATGAAAAGGAGACGCGCCCTCAGCTCGGCGATCGGCATGAAACACATATTAGCGCCTACAAGACTGCACGAATACTTCATGCATTGCATCAAACACAGTGCGGTCATTGCGGTCAGCGTGAAACGGATAGCGCCTACAAGAATGCATGAATACTTCATGCATTGCATCAAACACAGTGCGGTCATTGCGGTCAGCGTGAAACGGATAGCGCCCACAAAAATGCATGAATATTTCACGCATGAATATTTCACGCATGCCCGCCAAACACAGTGCGGTCAGCGTGAAACGCATAGCGCCTACAAGACTGCGTGAATACTTCACGCATTGCGTCCAACACGGTGCGGTCTTCGCGGCGCGGCGGCGGAGGTTAAAATCATTGAACCACATTTATGTTTGTTCTTTCATAATTTTTTTGTTAATTTCTTATGAGTGGAAGGTCTTGTCCACACAGAGATAGGTTTACAGAACTTAACTTTCGCGCAAAGTTTTGTGAACTTTTGCTAGTAGATTTTACAGGGTTTTCTCAAAAGATGTGTTCAGCACGAGCAAATGCGTCTTATGCACCCCATTTCCGCTGGCACGTTCATTTGATGGTTTTTATCGAGTTGGAAAACGAATGAGAAGGAGGCGGCAAAATATAGGCGGCCCATGGGCGGCTAGTAGGTGATTCCGGCCCTGGTTCCTACCTCTGAAAAAAACAAGATAGAAATGCGTGGATTATGAAACACAGGAAACGATGTACGCATTCCTGCAATTTCACCGTTGAAATATTTTTCATGTAACTATGATGTACATGATTAGGGGGCACGCCCCCTGACCGCTTCGAGGTGCAGCCTCCAAAGCGCCTGGCGCCTTAGGCGTTATACGTCCCACGTTACTCTTGTGATTTCATAGAGTATAATTTAGAAATAGATAAGCAAGACACGGTGGAATTTTCATTTTAAACTAAGACTAAAAATAAACCCTGAAGAGGCTCTCTCCCGTCAGAAGTGACGCGAGAAAGTTTTCAGGTACCTCCATGAAAGTCAACCCTCCGACAGAACAGCATCTCATCATTCCGTCGTCATTCGCCCCGGCGCACCCCTCTCCTCTCTCTCCTCTTCTAAGCCTCCCCCCTCATTCAACCCCGCGAGACCACACTTCTGCCATGCTCAGGAAGAACGCCGTGTGAGTCTTCAGACGTTGCCAAGTTTCCTTCGATAAAAACGAATTTCCTGGAAAAATTGCGAATATTATTTTCCAAAATTTTTAGAAAATTTTGTACGCAATTAAATCTAAAATGTCTGAAAATGTCAAGGAATAATATGCGCGGATGTTATAAAAAATACATGATTTATCCAGAGGAATTCAGCAACTCTTGAATGTTCATACGGCATTCTTCCTTAGCACGACAGACTTCGTCTCATCTAGAGTCCCTTTATACTGAGAGTCAAGACAATTTGAATCCATTTCTGATTGGTTCCCGTATTTTAGGCCTCCACAGCGTCACAAACGGGAATAAAGATTACATTTTTACCGATTGCAAAGATTATAATCTGGAATGAACCAGGGAATTACGGGTTCGGCAAGGAACAAACGGAATGAGAGGAGGAACCAGGAGGAACGGAGAAAGGAATTTGAGAATGGGCCGATCGAAGATTACGAAAAACGTTCAATTTCTGTAATCTTTATTCCCGTTTGTGACATCCACGAGCCGAATTGTCTTGACTCTCAGTATAAAGGGACTCTAGTCTCATCCCGCGACATTAGCCCCGAGTCATCAGCCGGGAGTTGGCAACATTGCTTTCTCTTCATTTAAACCCATGGAAATGAATCGATCCTCGCGGGGGCCAGATGCTCCGATTAGAATCGATTGTTTGACACAGGTTTAAACGAAGAGAAAACAATGTTACCAACTTGCTGGCGCCTCTGTCGCTGGTTCGAGCGCGCGCTCTTGGAGAAATTAACCGAATGATAAACCGGAAGTCGATAACACTAATGAGATTTGGGTGCTCCGTGGTAGCCAACATGTTTCCATTAATTTCTTTTTCGAGTTTGTTCGGTCGGTGGAAGTGGGTTCCTTGTCACGTGACCCGCGAACATGACGCGGAAAAGCTGATGCACGTCAACTATCATCGCATTTTTCTCACATAAGTAGGAAATTCCATTTAATCCCTCATCGCGTCACTCTTTGTTTGTTCATCATCTTTAGAAAGTAGTTTTGGTCGATTTCGTCAGGAAAAAATCAAACAGATGGAAAAGTAACTCTTAAGGTGATTCGACGGACGCCATTTTTTGCGTCAGAGCGACGTTTGATAAATCGCATCGATTCGTTCCATAATTTCTGCTACTCGTCATTTTTCTCGACTTTTGAGATCACACTTCTGTTGTCATGAGACTAAAGAATTAATGTACCAAATTTGACAAAGAAATTCAGCGTAATAACGGCAGAGTTTTTTAAGAGGAAAAATATAGCATTCGATACTGATATCGAAACTGCTTTTGAATGCGATATTTTTCCTCTTCCCTGCCGTTATTACGATGAATTGCTTCGTCAAATTTGGTACATTAATTCTTTAGTCTCATGACAACAGAAATACGATCTCAAAATTCGAGACGAATGACGAGTAGCTGAAATAATGGAACCAACTGATGCGATACATCGCATGTCCTTCTGACACAAAATATGGCGTCCATCGAATCACCTTAAAAAATTTCACGAGAGCAACGTCATGTTATCAATTTGTGCTTGGGTGCTGCGAAAGAGACTTGCGACTCATGCTGGAAATTAATTCAACCGTGATACTATTTGTGAATCACGGTTGCGCGTGTTGCCTACACAATGAATGGCGGGCATTTTATGAGTTCCAAGTTTAAAGGATCATCTACTCTTGTAATGTTTTGTTGTATTATCAAATCAATCATTATCGAATTTCATTCCTTGATTTTCTACTCTTCCAGCAGAAAATTCTGTAAAAATTTCAAGCTATACATGTGGCTTGCTTTTCTTCGAAAAAATTCAATCGCAGCGGAAACCTTGAAATTTGAATCACCGCAATGGTGGAACGTGGTCTCGTTTTTTGGTCATGGAAGTGCTTTCTGTGTCTCTCGTGTGCA